CCCCAAAACCCCAAAACCCCAAAACCCCAAAACCCCATAATAAACTATATGGCTTAATGAAATAGTTTACTGACTTAATTGAATTATTATTAATTCATCACAATGACGACCACCAAAGAAATTATGCATATCGATGAAATAGAATTATCTACTAACCATAATAACTTTCAGAGCAATCAGCACACCATGAGTCTTGAAGAAGATTAGCATGATTTAAACTATCTCAAAAGGGCCTCCAATCAAAATAACTGCGAATACAATCTGGAGGAAAATGATATATACTTTGATATAAATCCTGTTCAGCATTAATCAAATGCTTCTATTCAAGATATGAGCATTGATGAAAATGATATGAGCTAGGAAGGCATCTATTTCTTCAGTCAAGAAAAAAACGAAGATGTTATTGACTGGAAAAATATTGATCATTGCATTTAAAACGCCGATGATAAAAGTATGAGAATGTATTTCGATTATAAAAAGGTGAGAATTATTACTCTCTTTGATGAAAGAGGATACTCATTGCTTCATTTGGCTGTTTATCATGGAAATGTTGACAAAGTCAAGTAGCTTCTAAGATATGCTATTGATATACAAAAAGAAACTGAGGATAATATCAAATAATGGGTCAATAGTAAGACATATAGAGACAAATTCACACCTTTACATTTCGCATCATACAAAGGAAATATAGAAATGATTTAAGTTCTCTTGGATTATAAGTCCAGTCCTACTTAGATAAATAATTTTGGCTTAAATATGCTGCATGTTGCAGCCTAAGGAGATGCTGCTTCCTCTCTTTATATCTTTAAAGAACTTAATTTGAATATTAATTAACAGGACTTTAGAGGTAGCACTGCTCTTCATTGGGCTTGTTATTAATAATCTGAAGTAGCATTAAGTTATCTACTGGCTTGGAATCCAAATCTGAATATTTAAGACGTAGAGGGTCATACACCCTTACATTTAGCAGTGAGGAGTGTTTAGATGACATATTCCACGAGATCTGTTAGATTCTTACTTCTCAAAGGTGCCTAAGTAAATATCAAAGATAAAAAAGGAAAATTAGCCATTGATTATGTAAAAGACGTCAAAAGTAGCGAAATGCAAATTGAACTATATCGAATGCTTGTAAGAATTGAATATATAAAATTATTTAGAGACCATAAAGCAGAATTAGGTGTCTAATGTTTAAGGCACCAGTTAGGCCTTCATCAAAGAATTACATAACTTTGATTATCTATTTTATCCTGTTTTTCTATACTCAGTTCCTCCTCTTTACTTATGTGTTCTTAAGTAAGAATATTTACACCAATTTTTATTCATATTCTAGGAATCACAAAATTAATGACATTTGCAAATATTTTCATCTCAATCCTTACTTTGATTTTTTATATGATAAGCTTTCTAAATGAGCCAGGCTACATCTTCAATAAAAAGATAAGTTTCAGAGCTCTATTAGAGCAATTTGATGCGACTTAATTATGTCCAGAGTGTGAGATAAAGCGAACTTAAAGAAGTCGTCATTGTAGTGTCTGTCATTAATGTGTTGAAAGATTTGATCATCATTGTCCCTGGATAAATAATTGTGTTGGCATTAAAAACCATAGACAATTCATGCTATATATCATCCTACAACTACTAAATTTGATAATATCTTTGGTTTCAACAATATATGCCATAACAATTTAAATGGTACCAAAAATAAATGGGATGATGATGACTGATGACAGTGAAACTAACTAGTTAAAGAGAGTTGTGATAAATAAGATATTTTACTACTTTGGGTTTTAGCTTAATAGAAGCTATTTCTTCTTTGCTTCTTTCTAAATAATATTTATTTGTGGGGTCTTTATGATTCCTTTGACGTAAAAATTGTTATTTTTTATATAATTTTAGGTTGTTAATCTATATTCAAGTTACAAATTTTTTGAGGGGCAAGACTACTAATGAAAGATTTTCAAAGCAAACAATGGATTAAGAGGATTTTCAAAAGTAGAACAGTTAAGGAATAAAGCAAATTCCCTCAGGTTAGCAATCAGCTGATTAAAAAATTGCAGAAGATAATTTATCAAGCAATCTACTGGTAAATTCTGACGACCCAGTTAGCAAATTTCGTGAAATGCAATAAACTTAGATTAATGAAAGGCTTAGTTTCAGACGGATTAAATAGAATTGCCTACAAATGTGTTGCAGTGTGCAAATGATATCGCAAGAGGAAATTTATATGACTTCAATGAAAGGGAAATTGTAGAATAATCATTGACTATCCTGATAGATGAAAAAAACTTTTTGATCAATTTTGATTGAGTATCAGGATTTGAGAATAAGCCCAATGAGTGCAATAAAAGATTAATAATTATAATATTAATTTAATAAATTTAATGTCATCCAATAGATAGAATATGTATACAAAAGATTAGTATAGTTTCAGAAGGAATCTCTTGCAGATCTCTATAACTGCATTGATTCCATTACAGTATATTTACACAAGAAGGAATGAAATCAGAAAATCACATGAAAGCTTGAAATTTTATTACATTAAGGAAACTTCAGTCAGAGTATTTCTTGGACTCATGATCGGATGGGGCGCAGCTGCCTTTGTATATGGATTAAGACCTGATGTAGTGGATTAATAAAAATTAAGTAAAAAGGGAGATGAACTTGATGATACATCTCTGGAATATTCTGTAAATGTTAAGAAGAATTTGTAATAAAAGTCTTATTTGCCAGGAAGGATAAAGGACTGAATGAAAAATTTGGAAAATATTGTATTTAATTTGTAATTTATTTTAATTTAATAATTTTCTAGCCATTATTTTAAGAATTACAATCTAAACGGGGTTTGGGGTTTTGGGGAGATCGGAAGAGCG